AAGCCAAAGAGTTTGCTTGGTGTTTTGTTTTTATTTTTTAGGTTTTTCCTATAGGGCGTGAGCACATGCCGGAAAGAGATAGAGAGAGAGAGGGAGAAGGAGGGAAATGAGAAATCATCTCACAGAAGGGATGGTCATGCTGCAAACCCTTCTCCTTCATTCTCCTCTCAGGATTTTGGGTATGTGCGTGCATGTGCATGAGCATGCACGCACACACACACACATATATACACACACACGTGGCATGATTTTCAAGCTACCCGGTCTGAGACTTGACCATGGTCGGCCATGTGGGAGTCCAGCACATTAACTACCACGCCACCTGCTGGTTCCAGGAAGCCCCGTATTAGCCGATGCTCTAGGTGATTCTTATGCACACTGACATGTAAGAACCACTGTAAGGAAAGTTACTTTATCGCATAGCCATTAGGTCTCATCATTATCGACTTCGAATGACAGGCAAGGAAAAATTTAAGTTAAGGTTTTAGCAGTACTAAGTAGAACAGAGTAGCTTACACTGAAAACAAAAGACTCATTCAGAAATGACCTTGTCTAACAGATTGAATGCAATAAACTAAAGCCAAGTGGTTTTGCAGAAAGACTGGCCTAAACAGGCATTGCGGGAAAGCTCAAGATGAGTCACAATATAAATACTTACCATGATGCCTTTTATCCTGAGCATTTCCTAGTCTAAGCCAAAGTCTGAGAAGCATGGGGGTGGGAGACGTCATTTGTTACCTGTCTCTCCACAACTCCCCCCATCCCCAGGCACCAGGGACTCTCAAAGCAGCTGCTTCTTCCCAGTATCCTTAGCCTTAGAGGAAAGGGAATGGTTAGGAGCCCGGAAGAAAGGAGAATAAGGAGTAGAAGAGAAGCCCAAAGAGGGAAGAACGAGTAAGCAAAGAAAGACCTTAGAAAGTTGTAACTGGGAGAGAAATCCTAAGGGAGAAGTTACCGATATTTGGAAAACAAAGGGAGACATAGGAATGAAGAGGCCAATGAGAGAAAGAAGCCATTATAGAAGTGAAAGTAGAATCTGTAGCATGAGTCTTAGAGCCAAATAGATCCAGGGTCAATCCACCAAGAAGACAAGAAATCCCAAACTTATCTGGACCAAACAATAGAATTGCAAACTATGTGAAGCAAAAGCTAATAGAACTGGAAGGGAAAATAGATGAATTCCTAAGATTAAGAAACAAACAAACAAACAAAAATAAATAAAAAACCAAAGAACAAGGCACTCCCCCATTCTTATTCAAAACACTGCTAGATGGCCCAGTGTCTGTGGTGCAGTCTTTAGTGGCTGGACTATAGAACTACAGCCACACGCTGTCATGAGTTCAGATCCCCAGATTGGCCTGAAAATGCTTCAGGTGTATGTGGGCACTCAAGATCCCCATGAGCTGGAGGGCTAGGGAAAAGGCATTACGGCATGATAAGACCCTACTAAGGGTGCTTTCTCTCTTACTCTCCTGTGTTTGAGTACCAGACCTGGTGGCTTGAAAATCACTCTAGGCATGTGTGTGTTTGCCTCAAATCCTGACTGTAGAAGGGAGGAGGAGCGATTGCAGTGTGGCCCTCCACCCTACAGGGGTGATTTCTCACTTTCCCTCTCTCTGTATCTCTCTGTCTCTCACCTCTGTCAAGTGAATATACCCTCTGACAAAAACCTAAAAAAAATTTAAAAAATATTTAAATGCAAATAAATAAAATGGATCACAGACTTCAATGTAAAAATTTTAAACCTTTAGGGAAGAAAAATTGGAGACAATTTCAAGATCTAGGGCCAGGCCAGGAGTTCCTAGACTTAATATCAAACCACAATCCATAGGTGGAAAAATTGATAAATTGGACTTCATCAAAATTAAAACCAATATATATCAAAGGTCTGTACTCTATGGCAGAAATGGAATAAAAACATGGAAATTGAGAGGACTACTGCAGATACCAAAGACTGCATAGCAGGTGGGAAGGTAGAAGGGATAAGAGGGGATCCAGGATAAAACAATTTAGCAGACACAAGAATGCAGGTAAATGGGGTAACTCGGTTGTGGGATGGCAAATTACAGCTACGTGAACAAAACAGACAGTGCCAGTCATAAATAACCATTGACTTTAAAAGCTATTTTTGAAAGATTCAACAAAAAGAAAATACAAGCCAACAGAACAATCAAGGGGGAGACCAAAGGGAAGGAAAAATATCAGAAGGTCACAAACAGATGAGAAGTGAGTTAGAGACAAAGGGCATAAGCTCCCATTTATAGAATGAGAGAGTGGACGAGACCCATTACCATGGAGGACAGTTTTAACCACTGAGCAAGCTGTTGGCAGAGGATTTTTTTTAACTACATTGAAAAGCTGGAGTAAGAACACCACCTTAAGGAATCCTTGAATAAAATGAATGTTGGTGAAGATTTAGGAAAAGATCTTGATAGGCGTAGATACAAATATTTGGATGATGATGGGTCCATTCTCCTATGGAAGAGCCAGTAGCAGAAGATGAGGCCATGAAGCTTGAGCCTGATGATGAATGTGATATGAAGCTGATAGAGGATAGTTGTTTTATAATAAGTTCTGAATCCCCAGTCTCCAAGAAGATGAATGTGTGTTTAGGACAAGAGAATACTACTAAAGAACCTGCTTTGTCTAAAAAAGAACTTCAAAGGCCAAAAACCTTGGGCAGAAGACAGAATGCCCTGAAAATAAGACGGGAACATGAATGGAAACAAAGGTAAACAATACAGAAGAGAAAGTGGCTTTTCATAGACATATGCCAGCTTGGGAATGAAGACATTATTTCATGAACCTTCTAAGACTGTCTCTGAATAAGTTTTATGAAAATCCTAGAGAGTAATAACTAATTAAGAAAGATGATAAAAAATGTAAACATCAGGAAAAACCTAAGACATTAATAAATGAACTTAATAAATAATGAACATTTAAAAAACTAATAATAAATAATAACATTTAAAAAAAAAATGAAGGGCCAGCTGGTGGCATGGTGGTTAAGGCACTGGACTCCCACATGGCTGACCACAGTTTGAGTCCCATACCTGTTGACTTGCTTTCTCTTTTTCTCTCTCTCTAGTTAGTATACATGCCCTATGGTGAATTAAAAATAATAATAATAGTAAATTAATTTAATTAAATAAATAGTTATTTTAAATAATTTAAAAAGGGCATCACTAAAGGCTGACAAGGCTGTGGAAACACTGGATCACGTACACATTGCTGGTGGAAATGTAGAATAGTACAGCCACTTTGGAAAACAATTTGGTAGTTTGGCAGTTCCTTTAGCAACTAAACATGTAACTATCATATGACCCAGTAATTATACTTCTAGGCATTTATCCCGGAGAAATTAAGACAAATATTTAATTCAAAAACCTATACCTAAATGTTTATAGCAGCTCTATTCATAATAGTAGAAATATTAGAACAGAAACAGCCCAGATGTCCTTCAAGGTGTGAATGACTAGACAAATTTCGGTACATTATACTATGGAATTCTACTCAGCCATAAAAAGGAATGACTTATTGATACATCCAACAACCTGGATAAATATATAGATAATTATGCAAAATAAAAAACTTAGTTCCAAAAGATTACATACTATATGATTCCATTTATAGAACTTTCTTAAAATGACAAAGTTAGAGAAATGGAAAACAGACCAGTTAGTGGCTCCCAGGAAGTTAATGAGGGGATGAGGCAGGAACCTATGCAGGACATCAGAGGAATCCTCGTGGCTATGAAAGTGTTCTGTATCTTTTTTTTTTTTTTTAAGTTTTTCTTGGAATAGGGTGTACATGCTCGCTAGAGAAAGAGAGAGAGAAAGTGAGAAATCACCTCTCAGAGAAGATGGTCATTCCACAATCCCTTCTTCTCCATTCTTTCAGGATTTTGGCATGGATGCACTCTCACCCAGCATGATTTTCAAGTCACTAGGTCTGGGATTTGAACTGCAGTCGGCCATGTGGGAGTCTGGCACCTTAACCACCATCCCAACTGCTGGCCCCAAATATGCTATAACATAACTGTATCAATGTCAATATTAAGTTTGTGATACTGTACCTCTGATTTGCAAGATGTTTCTATTAGGAGTGACTGGATAAAATATAATTGACAATGATCTTTTTAAAAGTTTAACTAAATAAAATAGAACTGGTATCTCACAACCTCTCTGATAACTGATCTGTTTCTATTTCAAGCTCCCATTCAGTCAGCCAGATATTGAGAATTAGGTAGAACTCAGTCACCTAAAAGTCCCCTTACTTGTTTCTATCTGTTTTAGGAGGCTAAACAGGAAGCCGATCTTGTGCTTGGTATCATTGTCTATGCCGGTGTCTGCCCAGAGTAGTTTCAGCCATTTGTCCATCAGAACACGGCTGCATCCTCCTCACCTTTGGAGCTGATGGTCCCCCCAGAACCTCTACTAGTCCTTTCTCTCAGTGGGCTGCAAGAAACCTGAGGGGCCAACTCAGGTCTATGTGCCAGATATTTCCCAAGGGCATTCCTACTTTACAGAAACCAGGGAAGGGTCAAACCAGGGCTATGCTTGGGCAGTAAGGACACAGCTTCCTCTACTCTGAGGTCTTCTGTGTCCTCCACCCCACCCCGGCTCATTTGGCAGCTAGAGAAGGGCTCCGGGCTCCTCATCAGGTATCCATGGGGACTCTGACTCTGTGTCCTTTCCGATTCCCATCGTTCTTAAATTTTACCTTCTCTAAGGGTAGAAAGTGTGTGTGACAGTGGATATATTTCTCCATATCTTAGGGCTGTTCCTCAGATTTTTTTCTTCTTGGCTCTCAACATTCTGCTCAATTACTCTCCTCCTGAGGGTCTAAGCAAAGACTCCTTCCCTGTTGCACGAATTGTTCACAGAGTAACCGAAAGTATAGAGGAACCCTGTCCTGTCAATACATCAAAATACTATCCTGAGAAGTTTTCTACTATCTTGCCATCCCAAGCCCACCTGTTCTCCTATTGGTCCCTTCAGCTCGTGGCCCAGGTCCTGGAGCATAAAGACATAGGCTTTGTGACGGTCGATGCCAAGAAAGAAGCCAAGCTTGCCAAGAAACTGGGTAAGTGTGATTTTGAGGTATATCAGAAACAATGTGACTTGTTAAAAAAAAAAAAAGATAGCTGCGTTTATTCTCCTATGGTTATTTAAAAATAAATATAAAATGATTCCTCATACCTTAGATTTAGTTTGGGGAAGAATTTCATAAAAGCAAATATAGGCCTAAATGGAATGGCTTTACACCAACTATGTAATCTGAGGGAATTTCAGAAAGTTTGTGGGAAAATGGAATTAAAGTATGAGTTTATTTTGGTGCAAAAAAATTAAAATCCATACTTTAAAAATATAGTATGCATTTTCACAAATCTTTTGAAGACACCCCCTCCCCGGTAAATCTTTGTATCAGTGCAAAGAAGAGCATTTCTTCCTGGAAAAAACTAACATTAAAAGTCCAAGCATTCATTTTCAGCGTCTAAAGCAGGCAAAAGGGTCAGCTTCTCTATCCCGCCATCAAAAATCTTCTTCTAACAATGATTATTTCCTTGCCTCTTGGCTGAAGCTGCCAACAAAAGATAGCATTAATAGTTGTGAGCCCAGGGTCCCAGTGGTTTCTAAATATAAAGCTGAACCCCAGCAGTGCACTGTTCACCTAAGAGGAGAGGGAGGATTTAGGCGAGGTCTGGTTAAGTGACTACACAGTAGAGGTTGTAATCTCTCGTGTCAATATGTCACGTTTAAGTGCAAGTGCACTTTAAGATTCTTACCCTTGGAAGCCCAAGGAGAGAGAATGTAGGTAACTCCTCTGGCTTCCAAACACCCACATATATGTACTGCCCATTCAGCTTTTTCTGCATGACCAGTGAAGAATAGCTATTAAAAAATAGCAGGAGGTTATAAAATAGGACCTTTGAAGAAAGGTTAATTGGATTTGGAGTAGTAAGCACAGAAAGGAAAAAAAAAGATTAGTGGTGGTTCAATAAATACCTTCAGGTACACAAGAGTTCATTACCCTGGAGAATTACAAACAATTGCTTTCTATTTTATTTTTTGAGAACAGTATTTTTTTTTTTTTTTTTTTAAAAAAAGATTTCAATTACAGAAGGTTGTTTGTTTAGGTTAGACGTGAGGAAGAACTCATGACTATAAAATGATAATGAATTATTAAGAATGCTTGGGATATCACTTTCCCCGGTGACACATTAAGGAGTATTTTCTCCCATAAGCATGGGAGCAAAATATGTTAAAGTCTTCCCCTAGAGTCACAGGCACTTTAATGAGTTCTGCCTCCTCCCCAGCAAGGTATTGATTCCCTGACTTCTCCCTTTCCATCGTGTTAAAGAAGTAGAACTGGGGAGGATATCCAGCAAATCTAGTTAGAGGAGAATGCTAGCATTCCCACAACCTAAAATCTAGGGAAGACGAGCTAGACAAGTGTTCATGAGAACGGGCCAGCGAAGGACACAATTGGGTCTTGGCGTGCCTTTTTTCCAAAATGTCTCTTGGAGACGTTTGGCAGGTTTTCTGGTTAGTTGAACCTTGGAGTTTATAGGACAGTGGGTGTATTTTGTGGACCTGCTTCTTGGTCTTCATCCTTTCTTCCACTTGTGGTAGTTTGGCCTTTACGAGGCTCTGCCTGAACTAGGGCCGTGGCTTTCTGACTGGCGTGGCTCAGAACAAAATCCATTGGCAGGGCCCTGGCTGATGTCCCTTACAGCACTGTTTGAGATCAGCTATTGCCAGTTTCAGGAAAATTAGGCCTGTAGCTCCTTTTGACTTCTGAATGGGGCTCCCAGGTGGGCCAGGAGCTCCTTGGCCATGCCTTGGGACTCAGCAGGCAGCAGGCCAGCCTTCCCGCCCCAGGAGGTGCTGCAGAAGAATCCATTTGGAGAAAGCATTCTCCAGCTAACAGAGACTTTGAAAACAATGCATCTAAGGGATGAAGGACTGTGTAGTTCGACTAAACGCCAGTGATATAGCAGCTAGAGGGCAGTCCTGGGGC